TATGTAAATGACACTTTTTTCTCTGTAACAGTGGCAGAAAGACCTAAAGATCCGACAGGAAGAAGAGGCAATATGTGAGGCTAAAGAATGTAAAGATAAAGAGTTACAGGAAAAATATCACTTCATAGAAATTATGAAGAGAAGACAAGAGAAACTGCACAAGCAAACCAAACCCTATGAGCTTCCTCCTAGGAGTGAAGTAATTTCATTAGAAAAGAAAATGGCCCCTAAAATTGATAGCTACGTGTTAGGAAAATTTTCCTCTAATTATCTAGAAGCCATTTCTTAGAAAGGAGTTGTTATCTTGGTGCAGGCTCTTTAACAGTCATATCTTAGTCCTCAAGTAACAGGTAGGTTTTAAACACATTTGAATGAAGTGATTTTACCAGTTAAAAATTTTCAAAAATACAACTAGAATTTTTGTAATTGGCTCTTATCTTGTGATCATACAGCATGTTTAATCAGTGGTTCTCAAAGTACTGATATTCATTGGACAGTTAGATGGAAATGAATTGCAAATTATTGAGTCACATATAAGAATTATTTCTTGAAAATAGAATGAGCATTAACTGATACTCCTGTAATAATTATTTTACAAGTAAAAGAAGTAAGACACTTGCTTGGATTTGTATGTCAAAGTCAATCTATGCCTAATCAAACTATATGTCAGAAGCTTACTTGTGATAAATTATTGTTTATACTCGTAAACTAATCTGGGTGGTCCAGTCATCTCAGAATGAGTTGATCTTTAACATATACCAGCGGAGACACTTGAGTGACAGTGGTTTTTACTTTGTCAGATGAGTTTATGAGAATGGATTTGGATAATCCTGGAAGGTACAGTTGCACTTGCTGATTATCCAATCAGGAATCATCTCAAAAATATCAGTTCACATCTGATGCACTCTGTCTATGGGTAAGAGTAATGGTTCCTGTGATGCCTTGCATCCTTTTTGTGAAAAATATAGATAACAACCACACCTGTTTCACACAAGTGGCCTGGTGACTCAAGAGACATGTACTTTATTGGAGACGTTAAACTCAAACGACTTCAGGAAGGCTAGGGAATACCTACTCCATCCAAATAAAGTTCCTACCACTTGTCTATACTCTGCAGTGTATGTTCAGTATTATTGCATCATCCAGTATTTCAAGAAAATACCCTCAAATGGGATTAATTTTTAAAAGTAAAATAGAAGTTGCTAAATTTCAAAATATTGTCAACCAAAAAAAATCACATAATTTTGGGTTCAATTTGACACAAGGACCACAAGTTTTGACCTGTATTTCATGAATTTAAAGTAACACTTTTAAATTAAGATAACAGCAATACATGGTAGGAAAATGAGAACGGGGAAGGATGTTCCCATTTTGGTCCCCATTAGAGCTGATTCAGATGTATGTTTCTCCTCCCAAATCTTTTGTCTCATCCTTGTCTCCTCATACAGACACTATGTAAGTTCTCAGAAGTACCTCCAAATGCACCTGTTCAAATACCTTCATTAATCTTTGATTTCATCACATGTGAAAAGAATTATCTCCTACGGAAGGCCAGCCAGTCCCTTTTCTCTGAATTCTATCCCTTCTAAAATCTTGCTCTATATTCATTATTCCCCCTTGAAGTCCCTCTGCATCACTCACTTCTAACCACAGAGGTCTCAATTTTCTACCATCTTTCCATCAAAACTACTCTCTCCTTAAGACCCACAGTGAGGTCAGCCTTCCCAAACGCTGACTGCCCTTTTAACCGTAATCTTCCGTTGGGTTGTAAGGAAATGGAATCACTGGGCTGTAAGCTAGGGGAAGGAACTCTGGAGATCAAGGAATTTCAACAAATCCTGCTGTTTCAGAACCACCATTTGCAAACCTGGTATCTCCAATTTTTGAACTTTTCTGGTGTTCTGAGGAATGGACTTGTATGCCTAAGGCCTCCCCACTGCAGAATTAGGTTTATTTTTTCCCCTGTTCTGCTTAACCTGTTCCCACATGTTCGCCCGCTTTCTAACTTATGCAAGCTTTTTAGTATTTCCAGTGTGCTATTATCTAATCTTCTTATGGGCTTATGTCTTTTAAAATAATCCCTTTTCTATCATATTAATAGTAGCAGAGATTTGAAAGGGATCTAAAAAAAGAATATATATATATATACACACACATATATGTATATCCATGTATATATATGCATATATATGAAGAATGTATATATATATATATATATATTTGTGAGTATATATACGTATATAAATAAAGGTATAAGAATTCTGGCTAATCAATT